TGTGTGTGTGTGTGTGTGTGTGTGTGTGTGTGTGTGTGTGTGTGTGTGTATAGAGTCTTTTACGTTTGTGGAAAATTATTTAGCTTTCAGATTTTATGTACATACTGTATGCATCAGTTACAAAGAGAAACCATATGAATTAAGATGTTTATTATGTAATTATATTTTCTCATCTACTTTTTTATTTCAGCTTCATGGCGTACAGAGGTTTTGTACTAGGTTTTTACTAATAATTGGCATTATTATAAGAAATACTTGCATATTTTTCTACATCACTTTTTTCATCCATAAAAACTTCAGTTTTTACGTCAGTTTCTTGAAACATTTTGTCCGGTGGATTTAGCCAGTGATAAAACATCCTGACAGGGTGCATGTGGCTGCAGAGCTGTGGTTTAGACAGTTTTTAGGCTCTTTTCTGTAACACTATTTGAACTGAAGATGCTGGTCACACGTGCAGAACAGTCTTGTCTTCATGACTGGTGGTGATGTCAGATGTGGATGCAGGACAGACTTGAGTAGTAGATCAGCTGTAACTCAGTCGTGTCTGTTTTCAGGTGATGGATCCTGAACGACAGAAACGAAGAGAGGAGATTCAGAAGGCCATGAGCTTTATCCAGTAAGAGACCCCACAGATCTACATGACTCTCCTGCTGTCTGAATGTTATTAAATCTTTTTTCTGTTCACCAGGTCGTCACTGCCTTTCCCAGAGCCGGAGAGTTATGAGGTTAGTATTAAAAAAAAAACTTTTCCACTTTTTTCATATCTCTAAAAAACACTCTGGTGCAGGATTAACCTTCACATTGTACTAAGAGCAAACACCCATTCTGATCCACTGATAACTCACTTGAGACTGGATGTCAACCAGAGCTGGGCGGTTTGACCAAAATTTTATATCATGGTATTTTCAACATTTACACCGGTTTCATGGTACATCGCAGTATTTTTCTTTTCATCACAGGTCAGCTGATACTAAAATGCACAATCACTGCATATTAACTTTTTTCTTTTACTGTACCTCTGTCTGTGTCATTAATCGTGTTTCCATCCAGTTTTAGAGTGAATTTTTATCGAACTTTTCAAAATTCGCAAAAAATTAAATAAATAGAAATTCGAATCTAGACTGTTTCCATCTAGTTTTCCTCTTGACTGTTTGATGCGAATAAACGACGCTACGCAGCGCGTGATTACGTCAGACGAGGCTACGCCGCGCGTGATTACGTCAGACGAGGCTACGCCGCGCGTGATTACGTCAGACGTTGGCGACAAGCATTGTAGTAAACAGGAAGTGAAACTTGCTAACTAGCAGAGGCTAATCATCTCGGGACAATGGAGCGATTTTTTCATGAATCTTGGGCAAGTTGTAATTATCTATTCAGCTAGTACAGGCTATGTTTAACGCTGCCAGGAGACGTAGGGAAATAAACACAATGTTAAACTACGCAGCAGAACGTACCTGTTGTTTGCAGCCATGTTTTCGTGCGTTTATGATAACATCCGGGACGAGGCAGGAAAGCAGAAACAGCTGAACGTCACGTGAGGTAAATATGCGCTACGTCAGAATTTATTCAGCAAACGTGTTTCCATCTCCCGTTTTGCGCATTTACTATTTTGCGAATCATCCGAAAACCACCTCAAGCGAGCGTAAAAACTTTAGCGAATTGAGGATTTTTTTTGTCTGCAGACTGGCCCTCTTCTACCTCTTAGGTTGGACGGCACTTTTCACTCCTTTGACTCACTCGTCTGATGATATGCATTAAAGGGCAGTGGGTTTGGCTCCTTCCCTGGGACGTGGTACTTGAGATATAACCACCAGAAGATAACGGGGTAGTTTGGCTGCAGTCGTGCCGCAGATCAAGCCCTGTGACTGTGACCGGTTGAGATAGGGCTGCGCAGTATATGCGGTAGACGGTAGAAACGGTATGAAAGTTGGCCTACGGTAGAAATTTACGCTCTACCGTCATATCGTCGTTACATCATCACACCTGTGTCAACAGGGCCGTGAGTGCAGAGACAACTGAGCAGGAGGAGTTGGAAATATAATGAAGAAATTCTAGTGTTTTAAAACACGAATAGAGAATAAATCCTCAAAATATCCTCCCGCTGTAGAAAAGTTACGTCGTGTCGCGGGATCATAATCTGTTCCTCTCCTCTCGCTGCACGTCGCGCAGAGCACTTTAACAACTGTAGTTCCACACCCAACTGTCAGAGGAAAAACTTGTTTTTTAAAGTATTGTTACTCACAGACATGATTAAATAAAATGACGTGGACATTCGTTCAGTCATAAATCCATCTTGCTAATGTGAAGTCGGCTTCTGCTCTGATGATGAAGATGATAAAGATGAGCGCGCAGCAGCTGATAGTAGGCAGAAGCTCATTGTTTGGCAGGTAGATATTAAAGCAAAAACGTTGGGTTTGATTAAGATTAGAGTTTTCTGCAAAAAAAAGCTCTAAAAATTACATTATCTTTTTATGATAATTTTCTACCTCGATATATACTGTTACCATGAAGGGGTACAGTTTATACCCTGATATGAGTTTGAGGTCATACCGTCCGGTCCTAGGTTGACAGCTAGCTTCTCCAGCGGTTCTTAGATCTGATCGAGCCGAGCACGCTCATGCTCTGAAATGTTTTCAACTTTAATCAGCCATTCTCTGCGGTGTACTGAACATTTCCTGAAAGTGTAATAAGCATTTCCTGAACATTTCGTATAAATCTGTTGTGTACTTTTTGAGATAAAAGCACAGGTTGTGAGTAGGGCTGGGTATCGATTCAGATTTCCCAAATCGATTCGATTCACAGGGACCTGATTCGATTCACGATTCAGTTTGATTAATTTCTGAATTAGTTAAGGATATCATGCAGTAACACATTTACTTTGATAGGACATTCTCAAAGGAAATAATTCTGCATATAGTAGAAACTAATTCAAACTTGTTACTTTGGTAAAATTATAAACATTAAGGACAAACTTGTAAATTGAAGTTTAATCTTGAAATAAAACTGTCTCAAGTTTCAAAGGTTTAAACTAAAAAGGAATTTCAAGAGAAAGAGTTGTTGGATACATTAGTTTTCTAAGTTGTTTCTAAAATTTATGAATAATATTGGTAACAAAACTAAACAATTTTGTTAGACTGACATATTTATACATGCTGAGAACAGTTTCAGTCAGATATTTACATACAGTAGTTTTGGTTCGAGCCACTCGAAGCTTCGTTTCCCGTTACCGCGTCCGAGCGCAAATCTTTGCAAACAAAAGTTGTCCTGGTCTCTGTTATCTTTAAGTTCAGCTGAGAATCAGCTGTAATGTTAGTGATTCCTTATTTTCTTTTGTTTTGATCCAGACAACTTGTTGTCGGGAACTGAAAAAATAAAGTTTTCAGTTTCAAATATTTTTTTCAGTTTCAAATTTTTTTTATTTTCCAGTTTAAAAAACTTTTTATTTTGAACAAAACTTATGGCCCCAGTTTAGCTCCATATAAACCTCTTTGTTTCTACACTTATTGTCATGTTCCTTTCAGGCATTTCTGACCCAGTTGGTGTGCAACTTGCTGGATGAGGGGAATTCTTGTTTCCGAGATGGAGACTGGCGTCAGGGAGCTCACCAGTATGGAGAGGGGATCAGTGTAGCCCGCTATGCTCAGGCTGAAGCCGTCGTCATTCCCTACGAGCTGCTGGAGAGCCTCTACGTGAACAGGGCCGCTGCCTTCTACCAGATGGTGAGAATGGTGGCTTAAATTCAGATTTAGTTGACCAAGGTGTTTTTGTTGATCAATAAAAGACCTTAGAGACTTGGCGTCTGGTTGTAGCATTCTGAGTCAGATGCAAATAGAAACATGCCTACTTTGTTGCACAATATAGTTCTGTGTTATTAATCACGTCAGATAGCCACTTAGTGTTATTACTAGTAGAGGTGATGCATTCAACTTCATCACAGATGTGTAGGAAAGTGCAACTTCAATTTCTGTTTTTGCTCCGAGTTATCAAAATGGTTAAAAAAAAGATTATTGCAAATATTGTGCCATTTTCTGTTTTAGGAGTTTGCTTTTGCCATGTTTTCTTTAATAAGAAGTAACTTAAACATTTCTGCAGCTCCTAGTCTCTGTGTGGGATAAGAAGGAAGGAAAAACCAAGAATCGTTGGGCCTCATGCAAGAACCGTTGGTACACACAGATTTGTTCTTAAGTTGTGCGTACGAGTGATTT